AAAACAAATTGTCCAATTGATAATTTTAATTTGTCAACAATTGGCTGTAAAACTTGTAGGAGTGTTCGTTTTGGATCACATCGTACACATAAAATTTTAATAGGAAAATCAATACGTATAAGAATACGTGTTTCAACACGAATTTCTTTTCCAGATAATGTTGTTAATTGTTCTTGAATATCAATTGGTTGCTAAAATAGAACGCAATAAAAAAAACCCTATGACTCAAATATAACAATTGTGTGATATATAGATAACATTAGATAAAATGATTATAAAAAGGACTGAAAAAACACATATTATTAATTTTTATATCATGATGTTATTACATAAGATTATTTATTTATTTATTTGTATTTGTATTTATTATACAAATGCAGCATCGCCAATCGACGAAGTTATGGATAAGTTAATTAAATTAATAAGTGAAGAACAGGTAAATTAAATTTTTGTTTTTTTTTCTGTATGTGAAATAATTATCATTTTTATAGATATTAGAACCAGTTAAATTTAGATTTCCAATATGGGAAAAACAATTAGGACTTTATCGTTCCGAAATTCGTCTTGATTTTTTCGGTAAACCCTATGAAGCTGATTTACGTAAAAATAAATATATTTATGTTTTTGATAACAATATGTTTGCTACTGGGTATATTTCAATCCACCTTTTTTCTAAATAAATAATCCGTATTTATTTTTTCTATTGTAGTTGGATATCAGCTGTTCTATTAGAAGCGAATATGTATGGACGTGCTCCATTAACAATCGATAACGAACATTTATCAATAGCAATTGATGCAATTGAAAAATTTCATGATCATAATCAAAATGAATCATCTGTTCCATTAATGACATTTTGGTCACAAGTATACAATCAAACAACTGATACATGGCAATCAGCACCAGATAATTTACGTTATTTAATTACAGATTTCGATAAAAATCTTGAAGTTATTGAAGTCATTTTAAAAGCACTTGGAATAAAAAATATCGCTGAATTAATTGATAAACTTCGTACAAGTAGTGCACAATTTAAAGATGTTTTTGAAATTCCACCAGATTTTGATGATACATATTTAAATATTGGTTTAGGTGTACAATTAAAATTATTACAAGATAAATATCCATCGATCTATTCACGTTGGTTACAAACAAATTCTAATATGAAAAAATTAATTGATTTAACATTACAATATGCTTATAGACCATTCAGTCAAGATTCGGATAAAAATACAATTGACCCAAGAACATATTATTGGTTAAGAGATTTTATTCGAGATAATCCACAAGCAATTATTGTTACAACATGGGCACAAAATTTAACTGAAGTTAAAAAAATAGCACATAGAGGAATACGAATGCCATTTAATTTAAATAATGTTGATGTTACTGTTAGCGCGAATGTTTTATATGGAATAACAAGTGCTATTATTTATGATTTACTTGATTTTAAAAATTATTTTACTCAAGATATGGAAGTAAATATAACCTTATCATATGTTCTTACAGTTTAAAATTTCTTTATCTTACATAACGAGAGAGAATGAAAAGCAGACTGTCCTCTTTCACCTTATCCAATATGAAAGTCAAAAAAGAAAACAAATAGTACATAAATCGCTTTTTATGTTTTTGCTCTTATAAATTCTTAAGTAATATCATTCGGTGTCCCGTGATAGAAACACGATAGAATTTCTTCTACCTGATGACATTGTATAAATAAAAGAATAGTAATCCTTTAAAAAATTCAAACACGCATAAATGTCTAACATGAAATGAATAATTTTTTTAGACATTATATTTATCAACTGGCTCATTAATAGCATGGTCAATAAAAAATTCCATGAAAGATCGTCCAGATCTTGCTCAAGTCTATTATCCATCACATTATAATTTTCTTTGGTATGGTTCACGTAGTTTATTTCTTCTTGAATTAGCTCGTCATCAAAATAAATCATTACCTGATGTATTGAATCGTGTTTATACAGTTTTATCGGATGTTTATCGTAATGATGTTGTAAAATATTTTCAAGAACATGTTCGGTTAGATAAATCATCCTATGATGATTTTCTTGGTACAAATGATACAAATCTATTTGATAAATTAGAACCAACTGGTGAAGATAGAATATTTTCAACGGCACAAACTGTAAATGTACTTATTAGTTCATTTACTTATTTAGATAATGCAACAGGAAAATTAAAATGGATTAATGATAGACAAATTGAAACAATTCAAATTATGGTTAATAAATCGATATCATGGCTTTTGGAAAATGTATTTAAATATCAACCATTTAATTGTTTTTTTTCAGGTTCTGTTAAAGGTTTTAATCAACTACCATTTTGGTATCCAGCAAATATTTATCAATTTTTAAATGGAACGACATTTGATCCAAATCATTTTGATATTAACAATGAGTCACTTGTTGATGCAATTGTTGGCGTCAGTGGATATATTAATGAAACAACATATCAACGTATGATATCAGAAAAACATTTTAATGTATCAACGCCAACAATATTTAACGGATACAATGTCCCCGGTGGAGAATTTCCTTTTTGGTCTTCTCAACCGTATACATATTCAGTTACATTATTAGCGCTTGCGCAATATAATAATTTAGATAAATAAATAAATAAATCGCGTGTTTATTTTCTTTTTCTGTTCTTACCTGATCAGTTGAAGATGCTAAATATAATTCTGTTCGATACCAAGTTATTCCACGTTTAGCAAATAAACGATTTATTGCTTGTTGAATTGTTACATTCATACTATTATATGTTAAAAGTACAGCTGTAGTTTGATCAGGAAAGAAGAAACGACAAAAACGAGATGTATCTATTGATGGTGTTGATGGATTTTCCTATTGAATAGATAAATTTCAATATAGGTTTTTTTTT